ACCGGTCGGACGTACACGACCCCGCGAGTACAGTCTCCTCCACTGGCCCCCACGTGCCTACGCCAATTTTTTCGCGCAGCCCGACGCCGTGCAACCCGCCGTACGCGTTCCCCCCCACCACCCACGCGTTTTAGGCTGTGTCAGGGCTTCTCAAACTTGTCCACTCGGCGACCTCCTTTGCCCGAGCAAATATTTTCGCGACTCCGGGTAGAAAGTTGGGGCAGATCGCAGGGAATTGGACCGTTTCTTCTTTGACAATAAAGAAATATGAACACTTAACCCTTTGCACTCGGGAGGCGACTCTCAGTCGCCGCTTGATTTGATAATGAAAGCGGTGGAATTATGAAATCTGATATTTAACGTTGAACTTTGTATAACGCCTTGATACGTGATATATGGGAATAATGTACTTGTGATTTCCCTTCGAGTTAGTTTCGAGGAATATCATCTTCGTCTCGTTAAAAATGTTAAACGTTTCTAGTGAGAAACTTCCGAGTGCAAAGGGTTAAACATTTACCCCGCACACTCGCAAGACTTGTCGCTAGGTGCATTCATCGTTTTCTAATGAGATGTTAATCATTCGAGTGTCTCGGGTCTTTGGGAGCACCTGGTCGAAATGTGGCAAGCGATCACTTTGTTTGAGTAACTGAATTTCTAAGGTAATGATAAAAATGAGAATGAATGATTAGAAGGGAAACGAATAAATACACTTAATTTCCTTGTAGGAACCGATAGCCGCCCACTTTAGGTATTCACCTCGGTCTACTCTGTATAAACTGGGAACACGAATGAGAACATTCGCTGGTAATAAATCATAACAAAGTTACGTTGCCAAATTGATTTTGAATGTTCCATCGTCGCGCATCCAGGACTTTTTTAGTCTTAACATTTTTGCAATTCCTATATTTAGCTACGCGATTCTATATAGGGTCACGACCCACACTTTGAGAAGCCCTGTGCTACATTACGCTCTGGCCCCATTGCGTTCGACCGCAGCGATACGCGCCGGATAGTTCTTCTCCAACGATCCACGCAATTGTCTGCCGTTATTTAATAAAACGATCCGAGCAGAAATGCGAGGAAAGTGGGATGCTTTTAGAAGAAGTTTTACGATGGACGGAAATTTTGTTTAGGCGGAGGTGTCTCCGAGATTATGCGACCTGTGACTTTTCGAATGAACTTTGCAGTTTCGGTTGGCACAGGGTGCAGTTTGCTCTGAGATGAACTCGTTCACCTGCGATATATTGACCTTTGAAGATCGCCCGAGGTCATTCGCGATCATTTAAGTTCTCGGCTGTATATTCAGGAAATATTTTTATCTGATGTATCGTTGTGAAAATATTTTTATCTGCGCTCGATGAGTAAGACCGTGACACTTTACTCAGTGAACTGTACTGGCCATGTGACCGATAGCTGCTTCGACGGTACCAACGGAGAGTGAAAGTCTACTTAGATATTGGGTTGGATTTATCTTGCATCTGCACGGATGTGCTCGCATGAATCTATTTGCTCCAGCTACTTCAAAGCACGTATTCAGCCAGGACAGCTTTGACCTAACCCAGACCCGTTTTAATTTCCTAACAGCTGCTTAGATCGTTCCAGTGACAGTAGATAGCAGGTTTCAATGATTAATCCCGTTAGCCCTGATTCTCGTTTGATTTCTTCACGTAGAAACCACTTTGTAGAAAACTACCCCTTGTAATCAACGTTTTATGGGACCATCCGATTCTGCTCATTATCGCCAATCAGCACGTTCGTCTATCTGAATCCATCAAACCATTTTCACGCCTCTCCAGAAACTCTGGTTGTGTCTTATTTACAGCTTCCATTGATCGTGTATTAAACATTCAATATCGTTAAAATAGTTTCACATACATCGTCTACATCTCTTAAAAAAATGCTAAACATTTCTAGCGAAAAACGTTCGACTGCAAAGAATTGAAACTATAGCAACTCTCTCTCTCTCTCTCTTTTTGAGCCTATTATCATCGCTACATTCCAAATTAACCCTTTATCCTACAATATCGTGTCAGACTCGTGGTGAAGAATTCAAATAGAATTTAACAAATATAGATATCACTTTCTTCTTCCAAGTCCGAATTAAATATTATTTTTCTAGTATGAATTGCAATGCTCCTCAGTAAACGTAGACATAGAATAGGTGCAGAATTTTCCTCTTTTTCTAATGAATTATGAATAATGAAATACCTCTGTTGATTGATTCAGTGTATTGATCTGTGTATTGTCCCCATTGATTTAGTGTATCGACCTCTTTTATTTACATCACCATAGAGACTCGAATATTACAGAATTATCGCTTAAAAATATAACTGAATCGGCAAAGGAAAAAGGAAGGTTTGACGAACTTTCTCAGATTGGCCATCCGGCCCACCGTACGACGGAGCGCGTAAGGTGTTGGTCGGGCGCAGGGAAAAATGCGATTTTTCGATGGACGTGTTTACAATGCCGATTTACGAGGAAATGGAAGAACCGTGACAACGGCAGCCTGCCCGTTGTCCCATCGGCCGCGAAACGTAACGGGAGCCGTGAGGATGATTAATGCATTGTAGATCGGACGCGTTGATATATTGTGACACGCTTTATTAGTCGCTCACGCGGCGATGGTCTCAGTCTCGGAACACATAAAGTGCGCGGACACGTTTGTCGATCGCGGGACCGCCGCTGCTCGGTTTAATGGAGCCGTTGCCGCGGACGCTCCTCTGGGACATTCAATTTTCTTGCGTCTCGATTCCGCGGGGGTGGAACGGCCGGACTCGGGGAATAGGCTGGATTTTCTAGAGCATCGCGGTATCTAACGCCGTTCCAGTTCGCGGCTGTCCAGACGCGAGGGAAGCCTGCTTCGCGTTGCCACGCGGGAAATATTGTTCTGGCAACTGCACGATAGGTTTGTGCTGCCTGGAAATAGAACGCGAAATAGGGGGTGTCTCTTGAAGACGATGCAATTCATTTTCTTTCGTAGATTTTTAGACAATTGTAGGTTTAATCTTGCAGCTGACGATAAACACTAAGATGCTAAATGTTCTTGAGTGAACTTCGAAATAATTGTAGCTGTGATTCTGTAGTTGAATTTCTCTTTCATGGTATATAAGGCGATAATTAAATCCTCTGGTTTCGATGGTGTTCTTAGCGATTAAGCTTGTAAGGACTTTGTTTTTAATATTAGTTCCTTCAGTAGGTTTTTGAAAGAATTATTCGCATGATCCGTTGATATTGATGATCAATGATTGATATTAGGATATTTAAGTTTCTTTAGTGTACTTTGAAATAATCATGATTCTATAGCAACATTTTTATTTGGTTTATAAGTCACTAGTTCAACCCTCTAACTTTGATGTTTTCTTAGCAACCAAGCTCGTGAGAAAAACTGTTTTAATATTTTTAAGTATTTTTAATTAGACCAACTAAGAATCTTTCTTCCCTGACGCTTCGTATGCAAGAATCCTCCGAAACCTAGATCGGCGCTCGAGAAACGCTCCACTCCCGACGAAATTACCGCTCGTCAAAATTAAGGCAAGCGCGAGACGTCAAACGCCGCTGAAATCGCGTCAATTACGATACGTCTGCGGCAAACCAATTTTCATCGCCCACGCGACGGACAATTTGAATCTGATCGACAATGAAGGTCGGCCAGCTATTATGATTATAACCTTGCCGGAGACGGGACTTGAAGATATCCGGCCTGCTAAACAGATCAAACACACCCGTCAAAGCTTAACGAGTATTTGTATACCTACGAGGTCGTTTCATGTAATCTATTCATTAACGAATCGACCAACGTGCTGGCCAGTGGTAAATAAACGAATAAACCGTGATACTCGCGAACCTGGCGAACCTTGCTAAATAAACGAACGAAATACCGCAACACAAAATATTACACCAGCGAAACATCATTCCTGACTACGGTTACTTCAATGAGAATGAATTCATCCATTTCATCAAGACTTATCTACGTAACGTCAACATAATTCACGTTGAGCATTGAAATTGTAATTTCATTAATCATTCATCCCTTAGAGACTGTTACAGCACTTATTAAACTACCGTGAACACCGAAACTACCGGGTAGGTCGAATTAACTCACTTCAGAATTTTTATAAATAATTTGTATAAATTATAATGGCGATATTGCGAAAGATATTAAATTAAATTTGTGTATTCGTACAGATACTAGAAGACGCTTCTAATCTCAAGAAACCTATTGTTCTAATTTGTATAGAAAATTGGAAATAAGTAAACCACATATTGTCGTACTGTCTTATCCGATATCACGTTACTCTTCTGATGTTAACAACGCTCTTCCGTCGATCTCCATTGAACGCGATCGCAGACAAATTTGATTTTTCGGCGGTACCACGCAGGAGTGTCCCCTTAACCGATGATCCGGTGGGATTCGCGTCGAGCCCGGTTCGACCTCGATTTTTTTCACGGCGAAAGGGGATACCTTCTTTTTTTCCTTTCTCTCTCTCTCCCCCGCTCTCCTTCTCTCTCCCTTCAACGCACTCTCGCTCTGAAAACCAGCCGGTAATTGGTGGCACGCCGGTATCGCTTGTTTAAAGTTAACGAGCGTTTTTCATTTCGAGGCGCAGACAGCGGTCCCGAGCGGAGAGCCAATTAAATACAGATGGGAGATCGAGCGGGAACGAGTGCTCGAGAGATCCGCAGAGGAAAATGTTGCAGCGGGATCAAATGATAGAACGGAAAAACGAAAAGGGAACGAGCCGACCGAGCACGAAGGCCGATCGCGCCGGTAGCTGGAGGGGGATGAAATTGTAGATCAAGATGAAGTGGCGGTGAGATTGAACGAAAGGACTCGCGGTCAGGAAGAGAAGAGAAAATTATTCGGTCGCGTTAAATAATTCCGGGACCGGGAACTTCCAGCTTGCAGTCTTGTTTTCTGTGTCCAAGACCGCTCCTCGAGGATATTCTTTGCAACCTGGATCCGTTTGTTGCATTCGATTCGGTGGAGGATTGAATGCATTTGACGGATACGGGGTGGTCCGTGAATTTTGATGGGGGGAGAGATTGCTGTAGATACTATATTGTAACTAGGGAAAGTTGTTATAGACGTTAGGTCGTAGGATGAAATGATAAAAGATGGAAAATATGGAACTTTGTAGTCTGGGTTTGTATTTTTCCATTTCATTCGGCGGAATGTTGAATATATTTATCGGATGCACGGAGTGGTCTGTGAATTTTGATGTAGAGGAAGGTTGCTGTAGATGCTAAGTTGTGGAACAAACTGGAAAAAGATGGAAAAGATAATACTTGAATTACTTAGTTCAATCGAATTAGTGAGAATTATGCTTGAAAAAGGAATCTTGAACATTCGATATTTTGCCTCTGCTTTGGTCGCCGTTGTCGCGAACGAGAAATGTTCTTTGCTTTGAAACTCCAGATTTCGGAATAATTCAGAGATTATTCTGGTTCGACTGGTTCTCGCAGTTTTCTTCGAATCATTTGACTCGTTGCATCCCTCAGAGAGCACCCTGTGCATCGTGAATATATTATTGAGTGAAAAGATAAGTTCGTTCACCTTTTCTTAGGATCTTTATTTAAATTTTATACGATCCTTGAGATATTCGCTTAACGACTCAGTCGTCTGAGTCTGCGGTCATGATATTGGGCGCAGCATGATGCGAATAATAAATGATATGCGGAGCGCAACGGATCGTCGTAACAAAAATAAAAACAACGAGGGTATAATGAAATCGCGTATAAATATATGTAATACTTTGCCAGTGAGCAAAGTGATGGGACGAACTTGATCGAATTGTATACATGTTATAATAACGATCCGCCTTATTAGAATATTGTTTCATAGTCAAACGATCTGTTCGTCGTACAATGTTCGATTGATTTTCGCGACGTCCCATTACTTTGTGCACCAGCGTAATTCGTGTTTACCCTACAAATACTAAATGAAAGACTAAGTAGCCGTTAGACTATCAATATTAAGTACAATTTTTGTTTGACTCCACGTTAAGTAAATTACTCAGAACTATTATCTTTAATGCTAGAATCTATTGAAGATGACGACGTTTCTTTTTGCACAAGTTTTATCTTATACATGAAATATACCCACTACCGATCCATTATATTATTTTTAAACTAGCAATGTTATTTACGTTCAAAATATTTCTGTTTTAATCCTCAATTTGAAACATTTAAAAAATTTGTGATTCTTTAAAATCCAGTCATTTTTAATTTGAACAAATTTTCGTTTTAATTCTTTTTTACATCACAAAACTTTTAACTCGATCTATTACTCTTTGGCACACCTAGCAGACAAAAAATTGTGCTTCCAGCCTAGGCTGACATTCGTATCGCAAATCGGAACGAATCTCAGCCACTGCTCGGATTTCGATTAACTTAACTAATAAGTCGAACATTGAAAACGACACGCGTGAATTATCCAGTTAAAGGCTTCGTGGGCCGAGGCAGAGAAAATTAAGTTATTAACGGACATTGAAACATCTATCACAGCGGGATGACCCATATGAGGAAAGATCGACACGGAGGATCGTTTACGCGAGCGATTTCCAAAATGAATCTTATCGTTCTGTCAACCCTTTGCCTTATACTAACGTGTCAAACTCGTCGGGAAGATTTCAAATGGAATTCTACGAGCACGAATATTAATAAATCCGTTTGAGTTCAAATTAAACATTACTCTTTTGTTGTCGATTGTTATAATGTAGGGCAAACATAGCTATAGAGTATGTCTAGCTATAAAGCTAACAGTAAAGCGGTTGTGTCGATCATAGTAGAGAAAGATATCATAGGTCAAAGGGTTAACTTGTTCAATGGAAAACTTGAAATTCTTCATTAGGTCATTTCAAGCAATTACTTGATACATTTCACGCGTCGTATAATAATGTTCGACAAGTATAAATTATTATACTGAATTAGAATAACTAAACGACTAATGATTACTTACTTAATTCATTCGTTCATTCAAATTCCTAAATGTATCATCGAAAGAGGAAGCAGACTCTAGATATTCTGTGTCTCCCGTATTTCGGTGGGATAATACATAAGTCATTTTGTATAAAAAGATACACGAACTTTGGTAACGTATTTCTTTGCCTATGTCTAAAAAATTACTATGTTCTAGTGTTGATTCATTGAACGTACTTACTGTCCATCGCGTTTTACGAATTTTTCTTAGTAAACCAAACGTCTCGCGTCAAGGTTGACGTTATGGATGGCATCTGTTTTTTCTGGTTTTTCTTCGGGTCTATGTGAATGGAATAATGCTCGTTAGCGACTATGCGTGCGGTTATCGTCAACATTTTGGCCAAATCGTACGTCTCCCAATACTCCTCGATCACGTCGCACAATTCTTGGATGTAGAAGGAGCCTTCTGTCTCGTTGCGCCACGAATAGAAATCTTGCGGAGAAAAAAGTACTGTAAGTATCATGAAAAGAGGTTTCAGTGCAGTCATTTCGTACAGGAAAAGACATCAAAAATGCGTAAATATCAAACTCAGCTCCTGTACAATAACAATCGTATCCCAAATTCGGAGAAGAAAATTTTGAAATAATTCTACGAATCTTTTTTATTACTTAATTGTCATTTTCTGTACTTCCTAAAATATCAGTATTATCGATATTCTAAAATATCAAAAGATATCAAATGGTCCGAAATGTCGATGAATTATGGTAACACGTGCAACGGAGAAAGAATTTGAAAGAATTGAGAAAAACCGGGAAATATACGACATTCATGAAAGGTTAACAAATGGTTCACCTTCAACGGTGCTGTGAGCGAGCAAGATGTCCGCGTGTGTGGGAATTTTGTAGGAAGCGGTGGTGGCGACCGAGTCCGTCTGCGAATTGCCGCTACTGAAAACCCCGATACCGCTGTCGTACTTCGTACCCCTGCATGCCTGCGAAAAACGACCACGTTCTATTGAAAATTTTGTAATATCGCATGCTCTGAAACTGATGACTCTCGGTTTTCTTATTAACTCTGTTTTCATTTAATACGTTAACATTTTCAAATTGAATCCCACTTAAAGTTACACCTTAGTTACTGAAAATTCCAAAAAATATTTTCTTTCGCTAAACTCGTGGCACTTACAGTATTTGGATATGACGAAATTTTTACCTCTGCACACTGGAACATATATGCATCATCCGTCCGCAAAGAATTCGAGCATTGAAAATACAAAGAAAAATGTTTATGAAACAATCGCTAGTGACACAGAGTAGTAACGTGCAATACGCGAAACAAAATGAAATAAACAAAAACAGAAATAAATAAAATGAGCAATAAGATTATAAAAATAAAATCTAAAGAAACGTATGGCGTTCCTTCTTTATAGCAAATGACCGGAACAAGGACTGTATAT